TTAAAAAAAAATAAAAAAAAAAATGCACAGGGGTGGGACCCTCCCTAGTGGCTCAGCAGTGAATGCACAGCACTACAAAGCTAGCTGTTGCTGCTTCAGCACAAATTCAGTCCCCACCCCGGAGGTGACCACATGGCCCAGCAGACCTCTCCTGACCCACCCGCTGCTCCTCTCAGCAATGCACTTCATCAATCTGCCTGTTCTGCTCCCCACTCTGTCTCTGGTGACTCCTCTCACCAACCCTGCTCCTCTGGCCTGTACCCTGGTTCCGTATGCATAAATAAAAAAATCTTTAAAAAAAAAATAAAAACTGCTCAGGCAGTGCAATGAACGAATACTGCTTTAAAATAAAATTAATTCCAGTGCTCTGCCTCATAAAAGGCGTCTGCAGTGCAACTGTGACCACCAGAAGCAGCAGTGTAAAGCCGTCATGAGGCTTCAAGTCACACAAGAGCCTGTATCCACAGCTCCCCCACTCAGCCAACATTTGCTGGTGACGGATGTACTGAAATCTGAGTAAAAATCGCATACTGGGGACAGGTGACATGCCACCTATTTCTGTCAGGTCTTCCCACTAGGGGACTTATCTCATCAGGAGAGGATAAAAATACATTTCAGGGCATGCTCTCATCTGATCCTAGACCCGCTGACAGGTTTGCCTACAAAGACCCCTGGAAGGTGCTCCTCGTCAGCACGTCGCCCCCATGGTGGGTTTTGAAGAGGCATCTATGGTGTTGGCCAGAGGTCCTGATGCATGACTGTGGCACGGCGTTGCTCAGCGCCGTGCCAGCCTTGACACAGACATGATGCCTCCTAATACTGTCTGATCTGGTTGCCTTTCTTAGAAACTGGGACGCTGAGCCCGCTTCATGTGGGAAGGGTGACCTCTGCTAAATCCAGGCGCTGGGCTGTGAGCGGCTGGCGGGAGGGAGAGGGAGGTGAACAGAAGGGCACACTGCTGGAGCGCTGGCCCCGGGGTTCCTGGCCCTCTCCAGAGCAGCCCGCCACTCTTGCTTCTGGCTAACCTATGCAGCTTCCCTCCTTTTCCAAGTCAGTGATTTCACCAGCATGTCGCTCATAGACAAGCACGAGCAATAGCAGAGCTATTCGAGATTTTCTGAGTGCAATTGCACAGACACCAGCTACCTTATATTTATCAAGTAAAGGCCCAAGAGGCAGCATAAGGAAACACTGGTTAGCTTGTAGCCTTGTTGTTAAGGCCCAGGAAGCCTCGACTCTGCAAAATACTCACTGGTTAGGTTTTTAGTCTTTGGTCATCCGGGCTCTGATGAATGAACTGGGAGCTTCTTGGGCCCCAGCTCTGTCATCTGGGTTCTAACGGGTTTGCAGTGACATCTTCTGGCCACTGGAGCTGGAGCATGAGATATTTAAGTCCCCTTATGAGCCTCCAGGTCAGGGGTCAGCCTCTCTATAAATGGAGGGCAGAAGTGGATGGGCGTGTGTGTTCTAAATCTCTGTGATTGATAGCAGTGCATTAGCAAGTCTGTGTTGTGTATCGTACACACACATCCTTAGGGTCTTACATAAAATGTCTTTGCCATGCCTTTCCCAAAGTGTCATGAAGTGGCTGTCATTCCCGGGGGCGTCTCAGCATCATCATGGATTCCAGCTCTCCTTTTGTAGGTCTCGCTCACCAGACTTCAGGTGCCTTGAGAGTGAGACCTTTGTCTGTATGCTTGGGGCCATGTGTGAATCAGTGAATAGCTGTGAATGGCACAGGGTGACAGGACAGCAAATACAATAGGACCAGATTGGTAGGTCATGATTCAGTTTCCTACAAGAGAACAAAAGAGTCTTTAAGGTACTGCTGCTTACTTGCGTTTTGAAGGCCAACAGGTTTGATTTTGCCTGTCCCTGTTAATAGGGGTGCCCCGCATGAGTGTATGTGGTCACATTCACTTCATCTGCAGTGCTCTGTGGGTCAGAGGCCCTTTAAGGTTTGGAGATGTGGAGTTGGATCTTCATGGGAATGCTTAATGACAAGCTTTCCACCCTCTCCCCCTAGAGTCCCAGAAGCACTGAGTGTTTGATGAGTAACTGAACAAGCCCATTTGAGATAAAGAAATATCATTGTATCTGGGAATCCGAAGCTAGGTGAAACAGCCCAACCCCTCAGCTCACAGGCAGCACAACAGATGGACATGTCGTCTGGCTGGATGACAGCCACCGTTGGGAAGCTCCCACCCAGCAGATGAAGGTTGGGTGGATAGATCCTGATATAAAAACATTTCCAGGAAGAAGTGTTCAGAATAGAACAGACTGCCATGACATCAGCCTGCCGAGATGGGTGGGGATGAATCACTGGAGAAGCTAGCAGTCTCCCCGCGGACAGGACCCTTGGTCACCTGGGGCAGCTCCTCCCGCTCCAACGGCCTGCTGTGGCCTGCAGGTGGCCAGGACACGCTCTTTTCCGCACCCGGGGAGGCAGTGATGCTCGGCTTGCTTCGGAAAGGCCCCTACCAGTGGAGGGAGTGTGGAACTCAGACACTGGGGGGGGGGAGGCCTCATTCCTTCTTCCCTGAATGGAATATGATTTATATCTTGCTAAAATGGTTTGAAGCGTGGAATAAAAATTCATGCAACAAAATGAGATTTAGTTGAAGGTAAATTAGATTGAAGGAAATTAAAATGGCAATTCTGCTGAGGCTAAGAAGAAAGTAAATATGAAGAAAGATATGCCACAAGGCCTTCATGTGTGCTAAGGTCACTGACATTCTGAGCTTCCCGGACAGAGGCAATGGGAGAGTCATGATTTTGGAAACAAACAAACAAAAAGAGTCTAAATCATAAAGTAAAGACCAGTTGATCAGGAACATCCCCATCTTTCTAGGCCCTGGGGCACAACAGAAGTTTCTCTGGGGCATCCTCATCAAGAGGTTAGTGACTCGGTGTTGTGGCAATGTGGTCCATGGAAACAGACCTTCCCACGGCCTTGCTCACGATAGGGAGCAAAAGTGAGTCAAGGAAAAAGCGACTCCAAGGACCGAGAGCTGTGCTGCTCAGCTTCACCGCTCTGGTGATCTGCTGAGAGAAATTACAGGTTATTTAGGAAAGTATTTTTCAGACTCTAGTGATAGTCTGTGCCCATTATAACAAAACTGATGCTGGAAACATTTGGTGTCTAGCATTAAAAACCAGAAGGAAGAACCACATTGACAACACCCGTGGTGCTATTAGGCACCAATATGTGAGAGGACTGGGGAGCCCTCGAGGGCTCTGCACCCCTGCACACCCCGGCCATGCATGCAGCTGGCTCTCCCACCTGGCCATTAGCACATGTGCTGGCTGTGCAGGGATTGCTCCACTACTCTGCCTTTTCTTACCTGAGGTCTTTTATGGAATGTGTATCACACCTTAATCATGAATCAAAATTTTATCATTCCCTGTAGCAATGAATGTGCCCTTGAGATCATTTTTTACTGCTTTCATCCAAGCTTGCATTATAGCTCATGGAGTTTCTGTCAGCTTTGTGCAGGCTTGGAAGCGTGCTGGGATCAAATTAATTCAGAAAGTGAGGCTCCAGGAAGGTGACTTCAGTGACACAGTGGCCCGTGACTAGTGCTGCCAGTGGGTTCAGAGTTATGTGGTTGGGGATTAAGGATCATCTAGATATGTGCAGAATCTGCTGGACAGCCCACAGAACGAGCATGTACTCGGTGAGCTGAGGCACCTCCCTGGACCGCGGCTCAGAGGTGTCACTGGAGTCCACTTCCCCACAGAGAGGGGCAGGAACAGCATAGCCAGTTCAGAGGCTGGGGGAGCAAAGAACCTTGATTGACATTAAAGATGGAGGACAATTCTCCATGAATATGGAAGGCTCTTGCACAGGGGTTTCAGAGAACTTTCCAAAAGTATTGCAGTTGTTGGAAAATGCTAGTCATTCATTTGGTGGTCACTGTGTACCAAGTGCCATGCTTCGCCTTGCAGACCTTATTTTACTTAATCCCTCCAACAAACTGTAAGGCAGATAATTCCTTCTTTTTTTTTTTTTTATAAATGGGTAACTGAGAACCATGAAGGTTAAGAAGATATCCTTGATGGGCCCTCACTGGTGGCGCAGCGGGTTAAAGTGCAGCACTAAGAAGCTAAAGCCACTTCCGCATGAGGTCCATCCCCACCTGCCCCGGAGGTGACCCACATGGCCCAGCAGACCTCTCCTGACCTCCCGCTGCTCCCCTCAGCAGTGTACTTGGTCAATCTGCCTGTTCTGCTCCCCACTCTGTGTGTGGTGAATCCTCTCACCATCTCTGCACCTCTGGCATGTACCCAGTTCTGTATCCATAAATAGATAAATCGTTAAAAAAAAGAAGATATCCATGGAAGCAGCCCAAATGCCCAAAAGTAGATGACTGGATTAGAAAGATGTGGTACATATATACAATGGAATATTACTCAGCAACCAAAAAAG